GCCGACAAGAACTTTACATTAGAGTAATATGAGATTAATAGTAAATTAAGAAAGTAGGTTACATTGGAAGAAGATAAAGCTCTAGCAAGAGTGGGTGAAGAACCTTGGGTGTTAGCAAGTAGAGAAGCAGTGTGGGGAACCACTTCAAACAGGATAATCAAGAAATATCTCAATATGAAAGAAGGGAACAAAGATATTCACACAGCAGAACAGATGAGGCACAGGACTGAAACCAAACAGCAACTTGGAGAAAAATACAGTAGAAGAATTTTTACTGTGCTTCTGCCACCCATCTATTACTCCAAAGTACAAAAGAAGCAAATATTTCTTACGATGGCCATATATATACCATTTCTAAACTTTAATCATGAAGGCTTACAACCTTATTTTCCTACAGAAAAATAAGTTACCACTGGTCCTGTTGCCACCTCCTGAAATTTCCATCTTTCTTGCCAGCAAGCAGCATCTGAATAAATTCCCCTGCTTTTGACGACTATGACTTCTTTGATAAACTACCCATGTGTGTGGGGAGGGACAGAAAGATGGAGGAAGCAAATGGGGAAATGAGTTTTCCCCTCCTCAGATTAATGTATATGAAGTATACATCTGACACTTCATCAGCACTCCCGGCTGGTGTCCCAGCAGGCGGACACTGGCTGAACATGTATTCTGCCAGCTACCAGGCTACTTAGGATGAATTGGCAACATGCCATTTATCTGAAATGCCCAACATGTCTGGGAAAGGGAACACAACTACATTTAGCAATGCCAAGGAAAACTAGATACTTCAGGCTAGGAATTAATCTCCTCCTTGAGAAGGTAGTTAGCAATACCTTCAAGCTTGCCTATGGCATTTAAATCACTATAGGTCATGCATTTAGTAAACTTCATACCTACCAAACCACAGGGCCTTCATTTATATCTTACTAACTCATGAATGCCTCTCAGGTTAAGGGTCTATACTTCTCTGAAATGTATGTTGTTGTGCTGAACATGACATTCTGTTGCAGCAAGTCTAACACTGTTATTTGAACATCAGCCACTTTGATTCCTTTCTTTCTAGTTTTTCCACACCAGAACACATATCACTTCAATGTGCTCAATGAGTCAACAAAATATTTAACTGATGTGGTTACATGACTGCTTAAAGGCAGATTAATGAAATTTCCTTGTATGAGCACAATGATAATCTCTTCATAATTCTGCCACCATGTTTCTTGAGTGGCTGATGTGGAACTAAATGGGATTTGGCCCATTACATGGACTTTAAGTCTTATCGCAAATGTAAGATGCACACTGAACAGCAAAACCAAAAAGGTTTTAGATGGATGGTCTTATTAGGCCACCCATTACAGAATACAGAGTCACACCATTACTCTCGCCTAGCAACCAAAGTCATCTGTCACATTCCATGAGTAATTACTCGCTCCATCAACATTATTTATTGAATGCCTCCTACAGGCAAGATGCTGTGCAAGCAGCAGTGAGGAGTAGATGGATCAGACAGGAATTCTGCCCTCAAGGAGCTTTCAGTCTAGCAGGGGGGTATTGGGCATAACCACACAGGTAAAAAAAAAAAAAAAAAAAGGCGCACCGTGATAGATACTAAGGAGAACCAGGAAAACAGCCCAGTACTGCTCTAAAACAGAGGCAGTACAGGTGAAGAAAGTGGCCAGGAATTACACTGAATTCTGTTCTACTGCATAAGCAATATCAGCTTGTTTATAAGACAAAAAAAAAAAAAAAAAAAAAAAAAAAGAAACAACCAAGTTCTTGTAGGTATATACTTCTACTTCTTCATTACCACTCACTATTAAAAATGCTAGTTGTAATCTGCAGAGGTAACTTATATGTAATCCAATCCAAACACAGTAAGTAGAAACATGTAATAGATTATAACTTAGGGCCTCCCCGGTGGCGCAGCGGTTGAGCGCTGGGTTGCGAAGCTGCCGGCGACCTCTGCGGCGCAGCGGTTCGATCCCCAGCTGCTCCCCGGCCACCGGAGGAGGGTCCCACATGGCGTGCAGACCTCTCCTGCCGCCCGCTGCTCCCCTCAGCAGTGTACTTCGGTCCTTCTGCCTGCTCTGCTCCCCGCTCTGGCTCTAGTGAATTCTCTCGCCCTCCCGCGCTTCTGACTGTACCCAGTGCATGTATAAACAAAAGAAACAAACAAATAAATAAATAAATAAAAACATGCCTCTATAAATAAAAAAAAAAAAATGTGTTTTAAATAGATTATAACTTAATACAACATTAGCATGGAAAAGCCACTCACACGAACTGAGTGACAAACTGAAATAATCGAAATAATAAACCCACAGAAATCTGGGTATATCACAGCAGAACAATTGAGAATATCAAGATAGCACTCAGCTAGCAGTCCTTTGCCACCTACTACTGCTCTTAACACTGCAGAAGGTTAGGGACGGAAGGTGTGGTTGAAGAGCCTGAATATGTTTTTTTCTGTAGACTACAAGTAGGAAGTAATGAAACTGCTGAAGGGAAGATAAGAAAGGGTTACATATGAAAGCTTTACTGCTCAGTAGTAAATGGTTAATCACATACTGGCTTCTGTACCCAAATTTACCCGCAATAAAATGACAGAAGTATTCATATGGCTAATATTCATGACTGATTTGCCCCTTTTTTAGGTACTATTATTTTAGGTAATAATTTATTTTAGGTACTAATATTGAAATACTAATATTTCAATTTATTTTAGATACTAGTTTTGCTCTTAAGCAGACAGTAGAAACATAAAAACTTGCAAGGTTAATAAGCTTATAATTTAACTGACTCTTGGATAAGAATGTCACCTGACAGATTTTGAGTAGTATTCTTCTTTTATTTTCCATTAGTATTTCCTAATTTTTGTATCCTATTCCCAAATATCGAAGGTCACCCAACCTGTGTTTTATCAATGAATAAATCAGTTTCTGCATCTGGATATATGACTACTAATATCAGACAGTAAGATATATTGCTTTGTGACAATGTTATTTTAATCAGAATGATTTACTTTCCAATCCACATGCAGGATTTCTACTTAAGTGTTAAGAATAATAGTGCAGTAGCTCAAATAGGACTTTTGTTTTAAGTCACTAATTATCTTTTACTTTAATTACTAATTGTAATTAAAAGTCATTAATTCCTCTTTTGTGAATAAGTGAATGTTTACAGTAAAATAAATTTTTAATAAAATTCTCCAAGAAAAAAACATCACTCTGGACTTTGAGATGGGACAGAGGAAAACCTTAACTACTATCACTTTACCTGTACCTTTAAAACTAAGTCCCAATAGTTCATGAAAAAAAACAGATGAATTTTGGTTTAAAGATCCTAGTCAATTATAAAGTCATAAAATATCCTGAAAAAAAAATTTGAGGGATATTTATTCAATACATTCAGAATCTTCATTGTTCTGGAAACAGAATCAGGGAATTCCAAAGTTGAATACTGTTTAAAACCTCTTTATATTCTTGCAGATAAGGTGATAAAATCTGAAAAATTAAGTGACTTGCCTAAGTTATACAGCTGCCTATCTAATGGCAAAAGCAGGCCTAGAAGTTAGATCTAAATCAGATCGCTATGTCTTCCAATATGATTTCCAAATATCCAACATAATTTATCACTCATAGTCTAAGAGAAAGAAGATAATGTACTGATTATATATTATTTGCATCATCATCAGTAAAAAATGTTTAAAGACAGTACCATACAACCCTATCTACCACCAAAGCAAAAATAACCTGTACAGACTTCTAGACTGTGCCAAGGGTTAAAGTAGATAAGTAATGACCCCCAAACAAAATTCTAATAAGCAACATAATTGAAAAAAATAATGCAGGACCTCCTGCTGCTAACAAATATACCAATATTTATGTTCTGTGCCAACTGGTAAACGTGGAACGGAGTTAAAATAATGTTTGGAATTAAAATTATAACTATTTTCAATTATTATAAAAATGAAGGGTCAGGGCAAAAACCTCTAATGGATTTGAAATCTAGGAGGAAATTTTGATGAAGAGAAACATGTATGCATGGTCTGAAATTATCTTTCCACAGACTGCTTACTGATTGCAAGACAAAAAAATCATAAATACAGTGGAGAACTCAGACAACACCTTGACTGGGTGAAAACAATTAACATGGCTAAGAGGAGCAGAGGATATCATGCAGAAGGCCTGCTCTGAAAAGACAGGACATCACCAATGTCATATTCTGATCTGAATACAAAAACCTCAATTTCACCATAAGGAAAACATTGTAGGCATAGTAGACTATGCAATATGAGAAGTTTTCCATTAAAAAACTGGGGGAGGGGAGGAAGAATGTGGTCTTCAAAAATGTCAGTGTCATAGAAGTCAAAGAAATGGCTCCAGATTAAGAGAAACTAAAGAGATGTGACAATTAAATGCACTACATGACCCTATCCTGGATCCTATACTCGAGTTGGGAAAAACCCTATTAAAAACATTGTTGTGTCAACTGGCAAAATTCAGATGACATAGCAGATAATCACTTTATTTGATAACTGTGATAACAAAGCGTCATAATATATACAACTTACTCTCATCTCTATTTGTACATACATACACACAGAGAGAAAGCAAATGACAAATCAAATTGGACAAGAGGTTAGTTCAATCTTGATAATGGATTAACTGGTATTCTATGTAATACTGTTATTCTTACAACTTTTCTGTTAAGCCTGAAACCATTTCCAAGTAAGTTGTTTACAAAACTCAGAAACATTTCATTTCCTTAGAGGAAGTATGGACTGAAATACTCCAAATTATGTAAAGGGGGAGTTAAGAGGAGGGGAGGGGGGAAATTGAGAAAGAATTAGTACACTCTAAGCCAGGAATTTCCAAATCTGTTCTTAATGTTAATGGGTAAGTTGAAATTTAGTTAAACATCATAAACTTGAAATAGTCCCTAGGGAAGTGGTGGTCTAGAGCCAGCTCCAGCCACTGCACACATAACCAGAGGGCACTCACCAGGCTGGCAGTGAGGGAGGGCGCCGACTGACCCAGGGCTTGGCTGCGCATGCGCACAAGGTTTGACGTCTCTGCGGAGGCTGGCCAGGCCTGCCCCGCTACCGGGTTTGGTAGGAGGTACCTCCCTGTTGGGATTAAAAAGAAGACAATGTAAGTATCATGCAAAACTGCAGGACTTCGGTGGTAATGGCACAGCCCTTCTTGGCCATCTTCTATACTTCTGCCGTCCTTCTTAATTACATTTATTAACAGCAACCAGAGAAAAACTGTTTTAATTAAGCCAGGGGCTCTAGTCACAAGTGCTGTCACTGACTTCCCATATAAAATCAAGTAAACCTCTTCATTCCAACCTTCTGTCAGGGAAGGATGAAGTGTCCTGCTACTTCTGGACCAACTCCTTGGGAATGTTCTGAAGGTATATACAATTCACAAAGCAGTTTCAGCATCATAGAAACAATCGAGTGCATTTACTAAGGGATGTTCACAGTGTTTAATAATGGAAAGTGATCTAGAAAGCAATTAGACAAGTGTCTACAAAGTGAAGAGAGAGCATGCCTAAAGGGAAGAGATGGGGTTCGTTCAAGGTGAAATGGGGTTGGTGCCTCACACGCCCAGTTTCTTTCTCTGAAGTGCTGTTGATCATCCAACCATGTCCACAGGATACATAATGGTAGCCATTTGCATTAATCAGGATATCAATGTCAACCTAGGTTCACTGAACAATTTACATCAACCTTGAACTCTAATATAAATGTGCATGCCTTTAAATGTCAAACAGCTGAACTAATTCACACTGTGTTATTGCATTTAGTATATGGACTAGACTAGCTATCACATTGCAAACAATAAGGCTTTTGACTTCAAGAAATTAGGATGGACATGCATATTTACATAGAAATGAAGCTCAGTCAAAGCAAAGACCAGTTTGAATTTCACATGCTTTGCCCCACTACTGATACAATAACTGGCATAGTAGGTGCTCAGTAAAGTTGTGGTGAATTTAAAGAACAAGAGGGTACTTCTTTCCCTGAAAAGACATAGGGACAATGAAAGGGCAACCAACCATAGGATCTTATCCTAGGGCCTTGTGGGGACTTCAGCTTCAAACATCTCTAGAATCTAACAGATTGCAGCATATATGGCTGGTGAACCTGCAGTAGAGGTAAACATCTGTTCTCTAGTTTTTCCTTATCAAAGTCCCCCACTCTCATGTCTCAGGCATGCACTGCACAAGCATATCCTACTGAGTATTAACTATTGTAATATAGTAATTAGTTTACCATGATTCTTAATGATAACTACTAGTACTACCAAAGGATAGAAACTAGATAGAGGTAGCTCTCGTCATCTGCCCGTGTTAATGGTATAATGCTTTAAGTGTTTTCAGAAAAAAAAGAGGAGTATTTTTGTTGGTTTTGCTTTTGTTTTTGTTTCTGCCACAACTGCTCTTTTACTCTCTTATTACACAGAGAAAATACAAACTTCAGAAAAAACTAGATCTGCTTTTCAGATCTTGACCTCAGCTGAATGACATAAAAGAAGTTAGTTAATTTCTCTTGAACCTGGTTTATCCGTCTCTAAAATGGAGATGATAGGATCGACTATGTAAAGTTGATGAGAGAATTAGAGGCTATTTTAAGTAAAGCACTCAGAAAGGACTAAGTAGTTAGCCATACAGTACTAAAAATGAAAATTATCTCTTTTTTTTTTGGGGGGGCAGCTTTTGTTTCACAAGTAGGAAATATACACACATTATCCCAATACCAATATTTCAGTGATTTTATGCCAGACTTTCTTTCTATAACCTATATTTTCTTGCAAAAATAGGATCATACTGATTTTTGTCACCTCCTCCTCCCCTAAACGAAATAATAGGTTATGACATTTTCCAAGCAAATAAATATAGCAAATACCAATTAATTGAAGCATAAACCCTATCATTGAAAATTCAAATATAACTACCCTCCATGGCTCTGTCACCAACTTAAAAACATTTGGATATATTTGTGTGTAGGGTATGTTACATTAAAAGTCAAGAATTTTTCTCCTTGTCTCATTTCGAAACATGAACTAAAAGCTAGACTAAGAGGGTTTCTGAAAAAATCTGTTAGACTCAAAAGAAGATCATTAATGAGAAAGGAAAGGAAAACTGGAGATAGCATTTAGTAATGTTAATATCAGTATTATAGGAGTGAATTTTCTATTTAACACCAAATTGACTTTCAAAGAACATCATTTGTTAAGGATACTCCAACCTGTAGTAGTTAGAACCCACAGACTTTTTTTAATCCTCTTGTCACCTGCCTGTTTTGTGTCTTATATTTCCTTTGTTCATGTTCAAGAGAGAGGCTGACAGGAGACTTAAAGCCCATATGTGAAGGTTTATATGATGGAGAGAATCCACTCTGGCCTTACAACCATTCTGCCCCACATTCTTTGTGTTAAAGAAAACTAAGGCATATAGGAATATACAAAATCACTTTGAGAATTTAATCTTGGAAAAATCTGAAGGGCAAACTTTTTAGTTTACTGAAGAATTCTATAGACCAGCCTTCTTTTTTAGTAGAAAATAACAAATAGACTATCTCCCTATAACACCCTAAGATATTTGTTTGCAAGTATTTATTTCAGTATCCCCAGTATCTGGCACAAATATCTCACCATTAGTAAGTACTCAATAAATGTTTGTTGCCTGAAACACAATTAAACTACAGTTCCTGATCAACACTTGATTAACTCTAAACAAGAAGACTACAAGCAAACAGATTTCGTTAATTTTATTAAGAGTAATAACTAGAATATGTTGAGGCCTACATATACCAGGCACTGCAACTTCCTAATAATCCTATGAGGTCCTAGATTATCTCCACTTTCAAGCCCAGAGACATTGCATAAACAAGGGCATACAGCTAGTCAGTGGGCAAAACTAGGATTCTTACTCTGAAGCCAGAACCCTATCCCAGGAAAATATTCATGTTCAGCTAAAAATATGCTTATGCTTAGGCTAAAAAAAATTCTACATGATAGGATGGTTCTATGTTTATAAGAAATAATATCTTTAAAGAGAGGAAATCATCTGAGAAGATGGGAAATGGTAGTAGCTAGAATTAAATGAGATAATGCACTCATATCTCCCAACCTGGAAGTGGAAGGCAGTCAATATGCTATCACTACTCACATTATCATGGGAACTTCATAGCTCCATGAATAAATCCCCCACCACCCCCACAGCAACAAAATAAAACATGGTAATGGGTTCTTAGGTCAGATCACAAAAGAAAGAAACATATTGAACAGTATTACCATAAAGAGTAATACTTCTTTGTGGAAAGGATAAATAGCAAATTGAGAATTAAAGTTATCGCTGGACGGGAAAATGGGGTCAGCAAAAAGTATGCTGTAATACTTTATTATTTTAAAAATTATCTGCAGGGAAAACTGGGTTCTGATATTGGAAAATTAAAGAATTACGTTTTCACTTATGGTTTTAGTAAATCTAATATTAAATATTTTAAATATACCCAACTAAGCTTTGATAAAGCTTGCTGGAAGGACTATGAGATTATATTGAATTATTCTGCTAATTCTCATACATAATATTATGTAATATTGGTTGCAATGATTCTTTATTGAAAAAAGTGCCCCATAGTCTAACATGGCAAACCAGGTGGTCAGGAGCACATTATTCTCCATCCACTTAAAATGCAGTTTCAAAGGCCATGTCAAGGAGGGGTCTGAATGATGGGGGCTCTCCATGGGGTCTGGGTAGGGAACAAAGAAGCCAGGTGAGAGGCTGGATGGAGAATGGCACAAAAATGAAGCATGTAGACCCTCGTCATGGTCCTAGTGTGAAAATCACAGCAGTTGTAACTGGGAAAGGCCCCCTTTCTGCCAGTGGGAGGGATTGTTCCTGAATAAAACTCAGTTCAGGAAATTCATATGTTAGCATCTGCTGAATGAGACTGGCATGTTTCAGGTGGGAAGGCAGACTCTGGACAGAATCCAGGCAAGCACCAGGGCACAAAGAATCAGAGCCACCTCCCTCCTCTCTGTCCACTCCGAAGCCCACTTTGGACACCAGCTGTGTTAGCGCTCACAGGGCACTTTAAAGTAAGCAGAGACCACTGCTAACGGGACACACATGCCATCTGCTCCTCTGAAATCACTCATGCTAACATTTCCACATTTTACTTATTGCTATCTCCCAGTCTTGGGAACAAGACCAAAGGTGTGCCTGCCAAAGGTAAACAAATTTTAAGTAACCGGACACTAATTAAAGTGGTCAGGATGAATCTTAATCAGTAGTACTACTGCAATAGGATAGAGTTCAGCATGAACTAAATTCACCCTTTGATGTGCACAGAAGCAACTGGGTGCTTTACAGGGAGATGAGGGAGTCAGGCAGGGAACAAGTGGGGAGTCAGGCAAGTGAAAAATTACAAGGGTTAAGTCAGTGTAAACTCAATTAGGCCAGTGGTGTCTACTAGCTGGCAATTACTAAAGTCTCTATCCTCCCACAGTCACTGGGAGACAGAAGCCTTTCTGTTCTGTTGGCAGAACAACGTGTTTGGGGAGCAGCCTTGAGTTTGTATAGGCAGCTGCTCTGAGAAGGGTCGGGGTCACCCTAAGGATGTGGCCTTGCAATTTTAGAAACTGTGCTAATATTTGTTCAGATCTTTACTGACCAAGGTCAAGAGAGGGCTGTAGGGTAAGTGAATTAATCAGGCTTTTAACGCTGTTAGCCTCTGTAGCTATCACCTATGGCCTTGACCATGCTAATGCAGAAGGCCTTGGGAGTGTGGGTGCGGTGGCATGAGTGCCTCATTGTGGACACCTGGAGCATGGGTGCATGCATGTGTAAGTGTGCACACCTGAGACTAGAGGCTGGGCTAAAGCTGTGGCTATGGCTCTGAGAGGACTAGCAACATGACAGAAGAGGCAAGATCACAAGTTGACGCAATAGAGAGAATGCCAGAGATTGCCAAGAGAAAGAACGTAGAGATTTGCTAGGGGCTAGGGGGCTTGCCAGCCTCCTGGCTCCCTGGTCCCCCTGCCTTGCCAGCCTGCCTGCTTGCCTCAACAAGGGCCCAGAGAGCCTGTCTAGGACTTGAGCAAGGACACAGTC